AAACCCCAAAACCCCAAAACCCCATCAAGAAAAATTAACAGATTAATTAAAGTATTGAGAAGAGTATTCGCTAAGGGTTAATAATATTAAGTTTCATATAAAAAATTCAATGGGTTGTTGTTCAGTTAAATAAAAAGACACCAAGAAAACAATTAGAGACGCGACTCCTGATCTTATTTAGAATGAATAAAGAGGGGAAGTGACATACGTTGGCAAGAAGCCCAAAGACATTATAGATGAGAGTGATACGGACGATCTAATGATTGCATGCAAAAATAACAACTTTGCTTTGGTTGAGGCTCTATGCTTAAAATTTAAGATCATTAACGTCTGTGAAGTTAGAGGTCTTCTAGGTGAATTCGAATTACTTAAGCGTGAAAAGTATAACCTGATATATTGGAATATGATATTGGTTTCAATAGCGTTTGATCATCTCCATGCACTTTAGTTTTTTACAAAAAAGCTGCAGTGCCATCTTAGAGTTAGTTTAAGGTCACCTCCAGTACTTGGCTTCTCCAAAATGTAAGAATCTAGCCCTTAATCATCAGAGTCATTTTCATTACTAGCAGCAATAAATATTCGAAGTGAGTAGTGTTTGAAATACCTTTGGAATGACTTAAGACTTCTCTGGGATAGCTACCACCTTTTATTTGTTATAGAGGAAACAGCTTCTCATAAATTCATAGAGGGTATCAAAATATTAATGGGCAGTTAAACAGGCTAAGAAATCTACTAATCAATGAGAGTCTAAGAAAAGATCAAATTTTTGACAGAGTTAATCCTTTACAAGCAGGGTAAAAGAACTCTTGAGGTAAAAGAAGCAATTAAAGAAGAATTAGAGAAGCATCCATATGCCACAATGTCTCTGTTTGTCTTAATCAATGACACAAAGAATGGATTCAATGTAAATTAGTCTCATTTGGAAAAAGCTTTGACAAATATGGATGCATCTGAGTATGCAAAGTTTAAATACTGCAAAGCTTTATAAGAGTACAATGAGCAAGTAACCAAAAAAGTAAATGAATATACAACTTAAGAAGAAAATACTGCAATGAGAAAATTTGGAGAAGCGTTTAGACAGAAATTAGAGTCATTAGATGGTGAAATAATCAAACTTAAAAATAGCTTTACTAATGCATAGGAATATGATGAGTAATTAATAAAGCTCTTTGAATTGACAGAGTCGGGAGATCTGTAAAATTTTGTTAAAAAGATACAAGAAAACGATATTCGAGTCTTTAAAAGAAAAAGATTAGAGACAGTAAAGTTGACAACATCTTTTGCCATTAATAGATATAGCTACTTCACACCACTAATTCATGCGATCTAAAACAGACATTTACCTATTGTGACTTTTATGATGGAAAAAATGAAAATTGGCCTTAGATAAGCTCTTTGCCTTCAATTTATCGATAATGAGGAAAACTTTATGACTCAAGATATTAATGAAGAATACCAAGCATATTCCCTATTATGCGCTTGTGCTAATAAAGATGAGTAAATGCTGAGATATCTTTGGGATACCCATGGTTCCCATCTTTGGACTGAAAGACATTTTGAGCCAGTTATGAGATACTTAATAGAAAGCGAATGGTGCGATGGAATCAGAATCATGTTTAAGAGTGAATTAACTATCAATATGATTAAAGCATTCACCTCTGAGGAGAGAAGCTTTTTCATAGAAAATATGATAGGAGATCTTTTTAGTCTTGAAAGATAGGCTGTTGCTAGGACTCTAAAAGAAGAACTTACTCAAAGACCATATGCAGGTCTGTTCATAGTTTATATGATTAATGAGTTTGAAAACCTAAGCGATGAAGATTTTTAATTTTGGGAGATTGCTTCTGAAAATCTCTATGTGACTGAGTTAAAATTACTTTCAAAGACAAATCAAAGCAGGTTCAGTTAGTTTATCCTAGATTTTATGATTAAAAGAAGAGATGATAAGGTTAAAGCATATGCAATCAAGTTCATTGATAAATTGAGAGAGCTCCCTGAATATGAGCCAATTATTTTAGAGGGATCAGAAGATGCAGTTCAACTTGGGGATGAAGAGATTAAATTTTTCAAAAAAGACATTACTGAATGCAAAGTTAATTACATCACTGATATCATCAAGTACACTATTACTGGAAATGTAAAATAAATTGAAAAGACAATAGAATAAGAAAAACTGAGTGTTGCTGAAATATATGATAGCAGAGGATTAGCTGTAAAAGTTTATGATTATGAAGAAGCAATGATGAATACAAGAGAATGGAACCCAGTACATTATGCTATTTTCTTTAGACAGCATAACACTCTAAATTACTACCTGAATTAAATGAAAGTCAATTTAAAGATTGCCATGGACTATTCTCATACCTTCAATGAGTTTAGAGAGGATAAGACTTATTGGGATGTTATAAGTGATCGCACATATCTATTTGGCATGCTATTATCAATTTGGACAAAGGATGTAGAAATGCTTAAGTCTATCTTTGAGGAAAAGTTTCATGAACTACAAATCGATGACTAAGATCTACTAAGGTTACTAAAGCTTTCGATTCAAGCTAATTTTTCAAAGGGTTTCATGGCGTTGCTAAATTCTTAAATTACTCACTTTATCTTTACTAATGCACCTCTAGACTCAAAGTAAGAGTTAGTATAGTATGTCTTATCTGATGCATGCATTGAATCAAAATGTATCAATTCAAATAAAATGGAAGATTTGTATAGAGAAGTCAAAGAAATTTTGTGCCACTGGCCTTATGCTTGCATTACATGGGTGTACCTTGACCCAAATGACAGCTCATCCAATAGATACATAAAGCTAATAACTGAAAATTTTGACATTAAATGCATGGAGACTTTAGCTAATGTAGGCTAGTTAGAAAAACTAGAAAGCTAAATCCTTCGACCTTAAATTGGAATAGATTTCCTAGCAAATATCAAGGATGAAGAAGATAAAAAAATGATGGAGGAAAAGCATAACGAATACTAGCAAGAAAGATAAAAGCAATAAGAGCACCTTCAGCTTTTTATCAGAAAAATTGATGAATAAAGACAGTAGTCCACTTTGATTAAAAGAAATGATTTAAGTTAAGCTTGTGAGGATATTGTAGAATAAGTTCTTCTAGACACTGCTTTAGATGCCTCAGAGAAGGAATCTCGATTTTTTAATATGATAAGCAAGTTCAAGTTTCTTTAGTATATTCTGGATTACACCAATTTTGGATTTTGGAGAAAGTAGACAAAATTTTTTGAAAAAATAGACATGGATAAATTGAATATTTTGCACTGGGTGATATTCTACAACTAGCATACAATTTTGGAGAAACTGTTGCATAAGAAGTAAAATCTATTTGACAATTTCCATTTTGGAATGACTCTTGCCAGTGATCATGTAGAATTTGACTACGAATATAAGGATAAAGTAGACGAGCAGACAAAAGTCATGAGATTAAAAAATTTAGGGATCATAGTATGTATTCTTAGGTAGAGTTACGAGAGTTGGGAAGTACTCTTTAAGTATGGTGAGGAAAAACTGACATTAAGTTTATCATCATCGGAAATACTTGATGTTGCATTATTGATTAGTATGGAAAACTGGAAGCAAGGACTTAATCCAATAGTAACTTTAATTGAAACTGCTTTTCTCAAAGTATCTTTGATTAAGAGAATCGATTTCATCCATAAGCTAATTAGAATAAAGACAGACTGCATAAAGGATGTAATCAGAATACCTAAAATCCTTACTTTTGTTGAGTGGATGTATGAGAACCATAAAACTTAGGAGTAGCTGAATCTCAACCCATAAATCAAAACTCTTTTGCCTTCATACCAAGAGAATAAAGAGATTGAATTAATAAAGTTAGGCTTCCTAGCCAGACTAAAACCTGCAGAAGTCTAAGCTAACATAAATAGTGAAACACATTAATAATAGATCCTTCCAAATGATATTATCGATTTGAATGATATCAAAATAATTGAGAAAAAATAGCCACCTTAATAAGTCAAGCCAGTAGATGCATCACATGAAAGTAGTGCTTTTAAAATTAAAAAAGGAAGCTAAAGTGAAGTAGACCCAGCTGAAGCAGACAGCGATTGAAAGATTTTAAATAATCCATTATGAAGAATATATACTTAAGCTTAAGAAACTTTAAAATTATTAAATCAAAAATTAACATTACTTACATCTAACATAAAACATTCATTCCTATCACAGGTCTTTGACCTTAAGACCTTAGAGATTCTGAGTCAAACCAAAGGACTATTTGCCTTTTGAAGTAGTAGATTTAACTCCAATCATATTAAAAAGATGATTCGCATTTTGCTTTTAATGTCTCCTTACTGTGCTATTTTGACTACTCATACCCTGATCTGTCATTTAACCCTTTATATTATTATCAGTCTATGGAACAACTGAATTTGACTTGAGACTAAATAAACCATGACCCAGAGTCTTGCCTAATGGTGGTTGAGGCAAATGCTGTAATGTGCTCTCACATTTTAGACTTAAGATATTTCTTCTTACAGTCCTTGTGTTGCTGTTAGCAGTAGTTAAAGTCGCTCTCATCGATTACTGACTGCTTTGTAGTAAGGTCCTTGAAAAGGGTCGAACCTCTGCAGTTTGAGCAGTTCCTATTCTAGTTTAGCTTTAAGTTTAATTGTTAGCTTTCTTAGAATTCATTTTGAAATTCTAAAAATTAGATTGGGTGTTTTTCTGAGACTATGATTCTTTCATTAGAGATGGCAGTCCTTCATTATTTTATCCCCAGCCACTTTAAAGCAAGATCATTCCATTCAACTCTTAAAACATTTATAGCTATTGCATTTCGTTGGATTTCATTGTTTATGTCTCATACTGCATCATATTTTCTTTTTTAAGTTTATGTAAATCTGATGTAATCTCAATATTCTTCACTGGCTTTTACATTTATTGATAATTCTAAGGCAGAATTTTGAGACTTTAATTTTTGCTAAGACCTAACGCCTTTTATGACTAAAGAGTTTAATTAGCATTATTATTAATCATTGAAGATCTGTTTGTTTAGTTGAGTCCTAATCCAACAACAGACGATGTCATTTTTTTCTTTTCAGGTATAACTATTAAATGATTAATCTAATCTGGAGAGTTTATTCTGACTTAATGCTTTTCGTTCAGGATTTCATTTACTCTCTTTTTAGTCTGATGATCTTCTCTAATTTTGCTAATGTAGTCCTCTTTCTCTTTATATTCTTGAACTCTATTGGTAAGATCAGTTTTCAAGGAAAAAGCTAGGGTCTGCAGTAATTTTGATCTATTAAAAGCATCCAAAAACTCATTCTGTGATTCAGGCATTTAGAGCTCTGGGTGAATCATATTTGACTGAAAATTACCATCAGCCTAGAAATTAGTTAATAGAGGTTTAATTTACATTAACTTTCTTTTGGTAAAGATCTAACGACATCTTGCCAGTAATTTCTTCAAAATCCTTCTTTGACTGCTTATACTTTTTATCTTCTCTGATTGCAACACCAGCATCAGGGGGCTTGAAGAAATCGAACATACTTCCTGCAGTTTACCTTAGATTTATTAGGCCTTTTTAATCTACCATCTTCGATAGTTTATTATAGTCACTCGGCTGGTATCCTAAATAAAACTGTAATTTAATATCAATTAAATACCAGTAGCTTTGTTATCCTTGAAGGGAACTGGTAAAGCCTTATTATATTTACTATTATCCTTCTTCTTTCTGCCTCTTTTGAATCTGTACTTGAACTTAAAATCACTTGGGATGTTCTCTACGACTTGACTATTCTGAATGATAATATTTCCTTAGAAATCGTATGTATAATTTCCTCTCTCAAGTTCTTTATTTAAATTTTCAATTTCATTTGTTCTTTACTTGTCTCTAACTACTTTATCCTTTGCATCCCTTTCCATCCTTTCAAGTCTCAATCTCTGCTAATGCTTTTCCTCTCTGATCTTCTAGGCTATCTCATCATCTGCCTCAACCAATCTAGGATTCCTAAGTTGAATTACACCCTCTGAGGCCCAAGGCTCACCCACAGATCCTACAACATTAGCACTTCCATGCTTTGTAATTAAATGACCTTTCCTATATTGCTAAAGATCTTTCAGAATAGCTCTCTTTTCGAGATAAGCTTTTTGTGATTAATGAGAAATCTCTACATAAAGGTTTGGCAGTGCTTCATTTCTTATATTGTTACTGTTAACAGATTGAGTTGAGAAAACATCTTTAATTGCTGGAACAGGCTCGATGAAGTCTTCCTCGTCAATCCATTCCAAAGGTAAAGGTTCATATTCTCCTAAATCATATTCAATATCATAATTTAATTCAACTGTCTTAAGGGCATCAGCCATTGCTAAATTGAGACAGTATTCATTCCTAAGACTATCAATATCCTTTTCGAAGATTTTGTAGTCTACCCTCCTCATAATCTTTCCAAAAATATGATTGACCACTAAGAAAGTATCTATTGGATAATCATAATTAAGAGGATTAGAAGGAGCAGTCAAGGTTTGAAATCTATGTAGATCAGTGACTAAGTCAATCTTAAAGGAACTCTTTAGACTGTTTTACTGATTGATTGAGTTTTTAGTAACTTAACCTGTTTTCATATTTCAAGCGATTATGATATATTAAAATTAAATTATAGTTCAATAATAAAACAATATTCAGTCAATCTTCATTTACTTTTCCTCTAAAAGTATAACCTTTAGTCAAGAGATTCTATTATTATCACTCATTACTTCAAGAAAGAAGAAACCTTCTAAGTTGTATTTAAGTTAGTACCAAAGTTTGTCTAATGACCGATTGGCTTTCTTGAACTATGCTTAGTACTATAGACCTTTGGCTTAAGGTCTTTTTTCTTCAATCCTAGATTTTCACTTATATTCAAACTATTTAATTTTTTATTAAGTTCAATAGCAGTTGAATTAACTGAAACGCTATTCTGTTAGTTGATAAAGCTTCCTCTAGAACTGTTTGCATTTGTGTTGGTAGCTCTTGTAAGCTTTGCAGAATTTAATTGAGTCTAATTTAATGGTTTTAGTTAGAGTGGCTGTTTTTGTGTTTGGTATTTTTCAGAGCATTAAGTACACTAAACCTTGCTGTTTCTATTCGTGACACATTTATTGCAGGATTGACTATTTTCAAATAATCTTTCTTTCATTAGATAATCAGAACTTATTTAGTGAGTATTAGACTTTATTGACTCGTTTCTGCTCATGTGACTATTTTCGTCTTCGTCAGACTAATAATAATTTTCGTCATTAATATTAATCATGTTATTCTTGTTGCTCTTTTTAGTTTTATTTCTAAGCTTGTTCTTAAGTTCTTCGTTTTCTTTAGCAAGCCTCAAATTTTATTGCTCAAGTTATGATACTTTTAGGTAGGTATTGTCTTGAGAATTAAATGTTGCATTTGTAGTAGTTTATTTGTTTTCAATTTCAGATTTGACAATATTCTTGAAAATATCTGTTAATGCTAGCATCTCGTCCCTATCCCACTAAGTTTGTATGATCTACTATTCATTTCTTTGATTATTAGATTACATATACAACATCTTTTGCAAGATACTTTTGATAACTGAAATTCTTTGACCAGCAATCATTTCTCTTTCAGTGTCAGGTGGTACTTCACTCTCATCAGTATTTCCTTGTTCAAGACTATTCATGTTCTTAGAAATGTTACCAGCTCTTCCTAATTCTTGATCACTTGAACTAGAGTATTGAATCTGAATATTCTTTTCAAATAACTCATGCTAGCTTTTTTAGTGTTCTAGCATTTATGATATTTTTCTCAGATGCCTCTAAGTTTGTTGAATTGATGCTCTCATAATCACTTTATTAGTATCTTTATCTCTAATTTCAAAACTCTAATCTTCACTTAAACTGAAACTTGAATAAACCTGATCTTCATCGATATCTCCTCTCATTTATTATGCTTTCATAATCTTAGGACTTCTTTGAAAACTTTATTAATGAAGCTAGAGCTTTTGTTTTTGATTTGAAAACTATTAATAGTTATTGCTGTTGTTTTCTTTATTTACTGAAACCTGCTTAGAGAAATAGTTAATCAAATTAACGATTGGCTTTTCATCCATCAAAGCAGATTCATCATCTGGGATTGTTGTTACTGTCAATGCAGAGGATACTCTATTATTTTTATTAGTGTTGACATTAGGGTTAATTTGTTTATTGCTATTTTTATTAGAATGCCTCTGCAAGACAATGTTTGGGTCATTGCTCATTCCACTATCTTATTGCTATTGATTAACTATTAGATTTTTTTGACTTTTTTAATGTTTAAGACCGTTAAGATTGAAGTTTTAATTCAGTATGTTTTTGGAAATGCTAACCTCAGCCACTCTGCTCGAGTCTACTTCAGAATTATTATGGTAGATATATTGATGTTTCTAAGCAGTATTTGCTGGAAAACTAAGGATCGAGTTATCTCTCTCAGTCTCAGTTTAATTGCTACTTTTATTTGAGGTGCTCATAGGATATTCAAGATATTAAATTGGCATTCCTGGTAAGATTTAATCGGTTGTTGCATTATTAGAATTGCTATCATCGGGTCTTATCTAGAATTAAAACTAGTATTCCTCATCTTCCTCGTCATCTTCCTTGGAATCATATCTGTATCTAGAGCTAGAACACCCCTTGTTTTTTATTTGTCTTTCATCACTATTGAACATATAGTTACTGTTATTGCTAGAAAGATCTTTAATCTATTAGGTGTTAAGTAGATTTATTGGAGTTTTAGGGTTCCCAAAGCTTCTCTTCATATTCATGTTTCCGGCAATCCCTAGGTTGTATAGATCCGTTAAATTTGTATCCTACAATCTCATCTAATTCACTTCATAGATGAAACTATTATGACCATATCGCTAGAAAGAAGCATTATTTGGACTCTAAACATTTTTGGGGGAGCAATTAGATGTTTGAGTTTGATAATATATCTGAGCTTAAAGTGGAAAATAGAATTTCTGATTGTTGAATTGATGTTGGTAAGCCTAGTAATCTGTATCTGTCTTGAGTATTTTTTTAATGCAATGGCTTCCGTGTGTTGAATTTAATATTTTACATTTTTGTGAACTCATATTTGAAGTATTCACATCCTCAAGATTAGCATTGGTAAAATTAATACCCTTGCTGTTGTTCAAGGAACGACCACTTGATATTGATGAGCCTCCTTCTTGTATTGTGTCTAATTTGTAGTCTCTAATATCTGAAACTGAGTATTATTAAGGCAATACATTAGGTTGTCTACCATAAAATCTTTGATCAGCTAGCCCCCTATGACTTGAGGAGCCACTTTCACTATCTTGGAAGCTCTAAGGTTCATCATCCTCAGAACCATATGTTTTATTAGGGGTTTCTGTGTTTTGTATTTCATCATAGATGATTATTTTGCCCTCTTCTTGTTAATAATTTGTACGCACTATCATTTCTGTTAAAATCTAAAAGTAGAAATAAGTTGAGAAGTTAAATATTGAAGATGGAGGACTAATAAATTTATATATTTATATTTGATTTTAAGAATTTAACTGATTCAAATCATGCGGGGGTTTTGGGGTTTTGGGGTTTTGGGG